CCCACCCGCCTGGACGCGGTCCTGTGGGGCTGCCCTGGGTGACCCTGCTCTGGCAGGGGGTGGCACTGGGTGATATTTTGGCATCCCTTCCAACCCCCAACATTCTGTGATTCTGTGTAACACAGAGAGGATGATGAACTGATTAGTTCACAAGTGTCTTTCTGTGGAGAAGACAACAGGAGAGTATCACTGCAATGGGAACGTTTTGAGCTTTATTTTACCTGCTTCTTTTATCTGCCTACAAATACAAATAGGGCGTTTCCAGGCTGGTTTGGAATAGCAGTCGTAGCTGTTCAGCAGCCGCTTCTTAACAGCAGAAGTTTCTTAATTGCAGTGGCAGGAAAACTGGAAGAACGCCTCTTGCTTGGGAAAGCTCTTACACACTTCAGTCCTCTTCTGGATCTCCTGCGTGTCAGGGGAGGTGCCTAAATCAGTCCACTAATGCCTGGTTCTTAGCCAGCCAGAGCAACTGATGCTTTAGTTCACTTATCTTGGATGTTCTCCAGCACCTGGCTCAGGCAGGCAGCTGACTCTTTGCTGAGGAAGTGTCTGCAGCCAACCTGATGGTCACTGCTCACTAGTCACGTTGGGTTTTTTGTTTTCCCTGGGAGTGAGGCAAAGTGGAGCCCTACCTCAACCTTTCCACTTGTGCTAGTTTGATTTGTGTTTGAACTTGAGGCCAGCGCTTTTGACACTGTAAACTGTGGCTAACCCTACCCTTGACTTTCTCCCCAGGTCATCATCGAACGCTATAAAGGGGAGAAACAGCTGCCGGTGCTGGACAAGACCAAGTTCCTTGTCCCAGACCATGTCAACATGAGTGAATTGGTCAAAATAATCCGGTGAGTGGGGTGGCCCCAGCTGGCGTGCTGCAAACGTGTCCTCACCCACAGGCCCTGAACGCAGCGTGGTGGGGTGCGGAGGAAGCAGAGGCAGCTGCTGAGGGTGGGGATGGGGACGTGGCAGCCACGTGGTGTGGTACAGGCTGGTTGGGCAGGGTGGAGGGAGAGCAGGTTCTTGGCATCTGGTGAAGGACTGTGACCTTTCCCTGCTGGGGACCCTCCGTGAGCTGCTGGGGGAGACTCCAATCCCCTTCCCTTATCCTTCAGCTCAGATGGAAGAGGCTCCCCTGCTTTGCCCTGGCCAGCAGGAGGAAGAGCCCTGTCTCAGGAGGCCTGAGCAGCTCAGCTGGACTCAGACACACCATGTCCTGAGTGTGAGGGAGGAGGTTCTAGCTCTGCAGGCCTGGCCCCATGTGAGCAGGGTTGCTGAGGGGAGGTGGAACTTGCTGTCAGTGCCTTCCTGACGTAGGCTGACCCAGGTCCTCCTGCCCTTGCCCCCCGCAGGCGTCGCTTGCAGCTGAATCCCACCCAGGCTTTCTTCCTGCTGGTGAACCAGCACAGCATGGTGAGCGTGTCCACCCCCATCTCGGAGATCTACGAGCAGGAGAAGGACGAGGATGGCTTCCTCTACATGGTCTATGCTTCCCAGGAGACCTTCGGCTTCTGAGGCCGGCGCAGAGGGGGCGTGTGGGGACATTTGCCCCGGGCCCCCGGCCTGGGAAGACAACGCAAGCGGCGGCTCGCAAGAGGGGGACTGTGCCGATTCCCTTCCTTCCCTCCCCATCACCCCATCACCAAAGAGCGTGCGGCGCGTTCGCACGACCCTTCTCCTCCGCGTAGCTTAGTCAGGCACCCGCGCCCACGCGGGGCCTGGGTGTCCTGTCCCCTCCGCGTGCCCTCCCCGCGCTCTCGCTGTGCTGTGTCGGTGTGCGTGTTTGTGGCCTGCTGCCAGGACGGTTCGGTTTTCCAGAGGACGGGGCGCTGTCGCCTTCCCATTCGGCGTGGGGAGAGCCGCCTCTCCTCTGAGACGCTCAGAAAAGGGCAGGAGGTCTGCAAAAGCAGCCAAGAGATGTTCCCGTTGCTCCCGAGTTTTAATTGATTTTAATTACACCCGTATCAGATTCTTGGTGCTACTGAGTAGATGTAGGCGTCTCTGTAGGACTGTGGATACTGTATATCCTTTAGATTTATTTTATTGGTTTGGATTTTTCTGTTCGGGTTTTTTGGTTTTGGGGCTGTTTTGTGTTTCTTTTTTTAGGGATAGATTGGAATGGGGTTAGGGGTTAATCATAAATCAGGCTTCATTGCACTTTAAAGCATAGTAGATATCAGTGTGGAATTTACTTTTTAATTTATACAGGTTTCCCATATATAGTGCTGCTCCTCTGTCGATAGCTGTACCTAGATGGTCTTTGTTTATTTTTCTTTTTTTAAATAAAATTAATTTCCCTTCTCTCTGTCTCCCCCATTGCATGCAAGTTTTCAGTCTCAGTGTGGCAAAGTTCACTCAAGGAATGTACTGATTTATATTTGCTATGTTCCCATTCCTGTTTCTCATGTATTATACCAAAAAAAAAATAATGTGTATGATAAAATCCCACCCAGTTTAATCTATACAAAGGTATATATATAAA